TCTCTTTCTGCATAATTTTAAAAAATGTTATTACACCCAAAGTGACCTATTTCAATAAAACTCTGTAGTATGTAACAAATATTATATACTTAAACCACTTGGCCTATCATATTGCACATCTTATTTTTTTCCATCTGTGTGTCTTCTCTCTCCAGCTAGACCACAAACATTCTCTTTCTAGGCCATAACAAAGATCATTTCTTTTTCTTTTTTTAATATATTTTATTGATTTTTCACAGAGAGGAAAGGAGAGAGATAGAGAGCTAGAAACATCAATGAGAGAGAAACATCAACCAGCTGCCTCTTGCACACCTCCTACCGGGGATGTGCCCGCAACCAATGTACATGCCCTTGACCAGAATCGAACCTGGGACCCTTCAGTCCGCAGACCGACGCTCTACCACTGAGCCAAACCAGCTTCGGCAACAAAGATCATTTCTCACGGCAAACAATTCATTCTTAATCTGTTTATTGACCATTGACACATCTAACTGAGTTCTTATTTTCTAATCTGTTTCATCTTCTCGTTCCTGTGATAGTTGCATGTGATATAGAAGGCAATTTGTATTTTTTTTTCCAAATACAGTGTAGCGTATGACTACTTGATGTAAAAACGTTCACAGAAGAGAAAAAAGAAGAAACACATTGATAAAAACAGGATAATGATGAGTTCTAGGGATCTTCTAACCTAAAAACCTGGAGACAAAAGGGGCTATAATAGTAAAGCATTCCTCTCCATGGAGGAAGTGTCCACATAGAGGAAGGAGACACTGGCCATTGTTTCTCCCTTGAAACATTTACTACATGTAGTCAAATTTTCGTGACTATATTAGGATTTGAGGAAGAGCAGGGTACTTTATTATCTAATCACCAATAAAGCTGAAGTATTTGCAAGTTAAGTCATAGAACAGACAACTTTGCATACTTCAACTCAGCTGAGTAGTTCCTAGAGCAGCAAGGAGACCCAAGAGCCTGAGTCTAGCATTTCTGAAATAAAGTGTGTGTGTGTGTGTGTGTGTGTGTGTGTGTGTGTGTGTGTGTGTGAGAGAGAGAGAGAGAGAGAGAGAGAGAGAGAGAGAGAGAGAGAGAGAGAGAGAGATTGAGAGTGTGTGTGTCAGGCTGGGACTTGGCTCCTGGGTAGTATTGAGCTGTAGAAAGAATCTGTTGAGAGGCAGAATCTATTGACTTGTCTGGAGAACAGAGTTGGCCAAGCTCACAGTCCCTCTGTGGTCAGCCCTGCTCGCCACAAACTCCCATCCATCTCACCTTCCCCAAGGAGCCCTCCCACATACTCTGTCTGAAGCACATCTTGGTAAGCTCCTGCAGTGTGATTCTTTGGTCCCTCCTTCAAAACCAAACAAAAGGGCTGCTTTGAGGCTTCTCAAGCTGTAAGCCTCCTAAGGGAGTATTTCTACATAGGAATATATTTTGGGGTGCTAATAAGTTCCCTCTAAATATTGGAGACACCTCCTTTTAGTTTAATAGTTTGACTGCTGATGTCAACTATTAAGTATAATTTGTGGAAAGCTGAAATTGGAGGGGCCTGTGTGAAATGAGATAGACCCTAGGAATCATTTATCTTGATGTCAGAGCAATGCAGAGAACTTTTCATTATATACCTATAAGGCCAATGCCATCCTACCTGTTGTCCTTGGGGCTCAACTGGAGTCCATGATAACCCAGACTGGAAGATGATCTCTGGTATAGGAACCCTAGGATTGAGAAAAGAGGACACTGGTTCAGGATCTGAGTGTGCTTGGGAAAATTTATTTAGGATGGCTTTCCCATGGGTTCTTGACTCTCATGACAATCAGGAGCCGTGTTCCAGCGACTACCTCTCTGATTGTATGACAGTGCTCAGCTCCCTAATTTTCCCATGAAACCAAAACCCTCCTGTTTTGTCTGCAATAATTGCCCACAGTAAGTATCCACCCTAACACGCACACAGACACACACACACACACAGACTCACTGTACTTTCCATTTCAGTGCTATTTTACACCCTACAAGCTCTGAAAAAATAGAGAACTATCTCACCAATCTAAGGAAGTGAGCTCCAGACCTCATTTTTGAAAATGTTCAGCTTGATAACTCAGTGCCTGAGATCACTAGTTTCTCTTCTCCCACCCCCTCTGGTACAGTGTATGAACAAGGGATCATTTGAATTCCCAGGAGGGGAAATTAATTTAATGGACTTTTCAGGACTAAAGGATTTATCCTTTAAATATCTTCCTACCGGGCTGTTTCTCTCTAACGTTGTGACTGTTAAGCCTGTTTTACTTAGAACTAACTAGAAAATATTCCGTGTGTTTATGACTCATGAATGTGTATTTTTTTTTTTGTGTGTGTGTGTGTATCTATGTAATTTTAATTTGTTTCAGCCTCTCACAATTATTAACAAATTAGTTCAAAGAGTGTAAAATATGGTAAACACAGCTCACGCTCGTGCTCCACTCTGTGCTATTCACAGGAAATGCATTTCTGACACTTTTAAAATGAGCAATCACACGTATAATCAACTTGGTTAAAACTTCCTTCCTGGTAACTGCAACACTTCCTCTGCATCTGGATACGGAGGGAGACCCAGAAAAGCGGAAGAGTTTAGAGGCACACTGGGTAGGTTCGAATTTATTGTTTTCAGAAACTAAACAAATGATCCTTCAGCAGCATCACCTCCACTGCTTTATCAGGTATTTTTTTTCCCCCTTTTCTATTTTTTGCCTTTTGTTGGGTCTGACTCTGAATAGTAACACTTCCTTCTCAGCTAGAGTATTTTTATCTGGAACTGCAATCAGTTCTTGGGTCGATACTACCCCTGAAGGTCTCTGTTTTGTTGTCTAGTGCAACCTACATGAGTGGGTATCCACGAGGTTCCAGCAATAGCTTTGCAGATGTATCATTTTTTTGTTTGTTTGTTTGTTTTGGGGAGGAAGAAGGACACAGGAGTCTGTCCCTGCCAGGCTTCACGGTTTTACCAGTGCATGCCTGGCCATTATTGTACTCACCAGTGTTTCTAATGTCTTCTCCAAAAGGTGAACACTTCATAACCTCCACCATGAAGGAGAGCAGTGAGTATTCAGTCTGCCTGTTTTCTGCATTTTGTATCTTGAAAGACTGTTTGGGGCCACTGAGACTGAAATTATTGCTGTGTATTTGTACATTGCCTAAATGCAGACCTATTTTATTTCAAGTGTCAGTTTAATATATCGTACAGTTCTCTTCTTTGTTAGATATTCTATAATGTAGCAATATTACTAATGATTGTTTTAAGCTGCAAGAGACAGTGAATCAGGACAGTTGGTTTCATGTATTTACTAAATAGAACTTCATAATATTTTGAGAGGAGATGTTGGCTTTAAAAGTAACTTTAAGCTAAGATTTGAACAGAAGTTTGGCTCTAATGAAATTTGCCTTCCTTATCTTGTAATCAAACTCTTCTTTTGGTGTCTGTCAAATGCTCCATTGTTTCTTGAAGAAATAAGTAGTTATGAGTCTCCTTAACATTAGTCATTTAAGAGAGTAAGTGATATTTTCTGAAACATTAATTTTTGTGTCAGAAGTTGTTTCTTATTTAAAATATACTATCTTACAACAGTGATGCTAAATATTAAAATAAAAATACCTTATTTATATTTCAACTTAATATTTTAGCATTTCAATCATTATTTGAAGTGCGTCTCACTGCAGTATGTCAAATTTATATTTAAATGCTCTGTGCAGGGGAGGAACTCCTTAAATATAACGTATCCCTCAAAAATGTATACACACACTTTGAATAATTATAAAGGCGGTGCTTATTAAAATACATTTCACTTTCAAAATTGAGCTATCAGCTGTTAACGTGGGTATATGCTTTTTTGAGGCATCCTGTATTTACAGCAAAAGTGGATACACTGATGAGAAGAAACTTTTGAATTCTTGTTATAGAGATGAAAATATTAAAGCAAAAAAAGAAGTTAAATAATGAACGGGGGTCCAAACAGCAGGTTACTGGAGCCCAGAAATCCTTCCTTCCATCCTATGGCTCCTCCACTGTCTAAGGCAGAGGGAGGTGGAATGAACTGGAACAAAATTAAAACTACCTGGATGTTCCTATTCAGAGAGTGCTGTCTTGGGTGACTCCCGAAGACACTGCCCTAATATAGCAACGACAAGCAGAATTTCATGATTCAAAATGTTGAAGGACTGCAAATGTTCTTGGTTGAAACTACTGATTCTGATATCACCTTTCCTAACTAGTAAGAAAAATAATTGGGGGGGGGGGGGAGAGAAGAGACAGGAAGTTGACCAGGGAGTAGATTCCTGAACCAGAAAATATGCCCTGAGGCTGAGTAGTCTGGGTCCCAAGAAGTGTGAGACCGAACAAAAAGGAAGTTAAGTCAGAGGCCTGTTTTCAAAGAGGCCTGTGTTAGCATTTCGAAGTGCATCTTGCATCTTGCAAACGAGGAGCTGATCTTTTAACGGGACTGTTTCACTAACCCATGCCTTTCAGGATGCTTAAAAACAAGTAGCACTTTGAGTCATGATAATATGTCAGACACCATGCTGGATGAGTGCCTCACATGTCTCCTTGATCCAATTAAATTATTAAATTCTCAAACACAATGAGAGTAGAGAGAATGATTACTGAAACCCCATAAACCCATACTGAATATATATATATACACATATATATATATATATACACACATATATATATATATATATACCTTATTCAATTCTCACCTCTACCCTCGGCTGTATTAACCACTCCATTTGACAGACGGGAAACAGGCTCCGAGGTTAACTAACTCCTGTCACCAGACCCTAAGTGGCGCAATCAGGATGCATGGCATGGGTCCCGACTCCAAAGCTCCTGTATCCCCGTGAGCGCGTCCCAGTCCTTCTCCTAACCCCTTCTTCTGCCATCTCCCAGCCAAAAAAAAAAAATGCAAACCGGAGAGTGCCTTCCCCGGTGACAGAGCCCTCTGTTTCTCCGCTGCTCCCAGGTGCTGCAGGGCATGGAGCTGGAGAGCAGCCATGAGCAGCCGCCGCCCGTGGTGCTGAGAGAGGACAACCGCTGCAGGCGCCGCAGGATGAAGCCCCGAGGCTCCTCCGCGGCCAGCCTGTCCTCCATGGAGCTCATCCCCATCGAGTTCGTGCTGCCCACCAGCCAGCGCAGCAGCGCCAGCGGCAGCAGCGGCAGCAGCAAGGCCCCGGAGACGGCGCTGCTGCACGTGGCCGGCCACGGGAACGTGGAGCAGATGAAGGCGCAGGTGTGGCTCCGCGCGCTGGAGACCAGCTCGGCGGCCGACTTCTACCAGCGGCTCGGCCCCGACCACTTCCAGCTGCTCTACCAGAAGAAGGGCCAGTGGTACGAGATCTACGACCGGCACCAGGTGGTGCAGACGCTGGACTGCCTGCGCTACTGGCAGGCGCTGCGCCGCAGCCCCGGCCAGATCCACGTGGTGCAGCGGCGCTGCCCCTCGGAGGACACGCTGGCCTTCCAGCGCCAGCTCACCGCCCTCATGGGCTACGACGTCACCGACGTCAGCAACGTGCACGACGACGAGCTCGAGTTCACGCGCCGCCGCCTGGTCACGCCGCGCCTGGCCGAGGTGGCGGGCCGCGACCCGCAGCTCTACGCCATGCACCCCTGGGTGACCTCCAAGCCGCTCCCGGAGTACCTGCTGCGGAAGATCGCGCCCAACCACTGCATCTTCATCGTCCTGCACCGCGGCACCACCAGCCAGACCGTCAAGGTCTCGGCCGACGACACGCCGGGCGCCATCCTGCGCGGCTTCTTCGCCAAGATGGCCAAGAAGAAGTCGCTGATGGACATCCCCGAGAGCCAGAGCGAGCGGGACTTCGTGCTGCGCGTGTGCGGCCGCGACGAGTACCTGGTCGGGGAGACGCCGCTCAAGAACTTCCAGTGGGTGCGGCACTGCCTCAAGCACGGCGAGGAGATCCACCTGGTGCTGGACACGCCGCCCGACCCCGCGCGCGACGCCGTGCGCAAGGAGGAGTGGCCGCTGGTGGACGACTGCACCGGCGTCACCGGCTACCATGAGCAGCTCACCATCCACGGCAAGGACCACGAGAGCGTGTTCACCGTGTCCCTGTGGGACTGCGACCGCAAGTTCAGGGTCAAAATCAGGGGCATCGACATCCCCGTGCTGCCCCGGAACGCCGACCTCACGGTGTTCGTGGAGGCCAACATCCAGCACGGGCAGCAGGTGCTGTGCCAGCGGAGGACCAGCCCCAAGCCCTTCACGGAGGAGGTGCTCTGGAACGTGTGGCTGGAGTTCAGCATCAAGATCAAGGACCTGCCCAAGGGGGCCCTGCTGAACCTGCAGATCTACTGCGGCAAGGCCCCCGCGCTCTCCGGGAAGGCCTCCGCGGAGACCCCGGAGTCCAAGGGCAAAGTTCAGCTTCTGTACTACGTGAACCTGCTGCTCATCGACCACCGGTTCCTGCTGCGCCACGGCGAGTACGTGCTGCACATGTGGCAGATCTCCGGCAAAGGGGAGGACCAAGGGACCTTCAACGCCGACAAGCTCACGTCCGCCACCAACCCGGACAAGGACAGCTCCATGTCCATCTGCATCCTCCTGGACAACTACTGCCACCCCATAGCCCTGCCCAAGCATCGGCCCTCCTCCGACCCTGAAGGGGACCGGGTCCGGGCGGAGATGCCCAACCAGCTCCGGAAGCAACTGGAGGCCATCATAGCCACCGACCCGCTGAACCCGCTCACGGCCGAGGACAAGGAACTGCTCTGGCATTTCAGATACGAGAGCCTGAAGCATCCGAAAGCGTACCCCAAACTGTTCAGCTCCGTGAAGTGGGGACAGCAAGAAATGGTGGCTAAAACGTACCAGTTGCTAGCCAGGAGGGAGGTCTGGGATCAAAGTGCTCTGGACGTCGGGCTGACCATGCAGCTCCTGGACTGCAACTTTTCGGATGAAAACGTGAGAGCCATCGCGGTTCAGAAACTGGAGAGCCTGGAGGACGATGACGTGCTGAATTACCTGCTGCAGCTGGTCCAGGTAGTGGGTGCCTGGGCTACTGACAGAGCCTCTTCTCCAGGGATTGGTTTGCATTTGCACAGGCGCCCCATTCGGTGGTCATCCAGTTCCCTTTGCCCAGAACCTCAGGATCTGTCAAAGCAGATCTGAAGAGACCACCTCTGAAAGTAGTACACGGTTCCATTTTTTTTTTTTTTTTATTGTCCTTATGGGTCTTCTGGCAGGCACTTTAAAGATGGTAATATTTCCACTTTTTAGGAAAACTGGCCCTATGGGAACACTTTGTTCTCATTTATTATGTGAATGATAAATTCAGTATATGGAATGCTCCCTTGTGTCAGGCTCCAAGTGATATACATGCTTGTTGTGTATTATCACTCTAAACTCTCCCAATGACTGTGATGGAGGTCAAATTAATATTTTAATTGTCAGGAAATCGAGGCAGAGAGAGGCTAACTAATATGTCCCATACTTTCAAAGAAGTAAATTAAAACCAAGGATCCAGGCCCTGCTCTTTTCACTGTCTCCCAACATGCTGCATAAATCCAGTATCAGAATTGTATGTCCTAGAGCCATGGTCGGGCCACGCCAGCACAGCCAAGGGTTCAGGGAGCCTGAGCGGGCGATGAAAGATGGAGAAATGATAGACAAAGAGAATAAGCTGGGTTTAGGTGGGTCTTCTGTGCCTGGCTGAAACCACAGAACAGATACAGACTGCAAAGCTGAGGCTCTATTTATAGTCAGGGAGAACAAGGTAATCTACAATGTAAGTTTCACTTGTGGCAGCACTTGCTGCCCCTCCCACAGCCCACTAGCTACCCAGGAAGGATCTAGGGAGCAGTCACAAGATCAAGCTTAATTATGCTTAGAGGGCTGTGCCCTCCACGCTAGGACTTGTTTGCGATTTTGCCAGCAGGTCCGTCCAAGGTTTAACCCTATAACCGCTTCTTACACTCATTAGTCAACAGAGCCAAATATCAATAGTACAACGATTGAAATTTCTTTTGAGAGCCAAATTTTTTAAACTTAAACTTCTTCTAACGCCACTTCTTCCAAATAGACTCGCCCAGGCCGTGGTATTTTGTGGAAGAGCCACACTCCAGGGGCCAAAGAGCCACATGTGGGTCGCAAGCCTCAGTTTGCTGACCACTGTCCTAGAGAGAAAATGTCATACTCTCACAATTCATGACTCATACCTCATACCTGGATGGGACTCTGAAAGCCCCTCTCTTCAGACAGGCCTGGCACTGCCTTTCCCCTCCTGTTCTCATTTCTTTCCCTGGGGTCAAGAGAGACTACATCATTAGCCTAAGGTTTTCTTAGGAAGTTAAACAAAAGAGAGCAGTTCTCCAGCTCACTATAGCCAATCTCAAATTAGATCATGCTGCTTGACAAGAAAGTAAAGAAATTGGAGTAGAAATTCTATTTTAGAGTGCAGAAGTGTTTATTCATTAATTCACCAACATGGACATAGCGCTTCCACTGTCCTGGATGCTGGATACAGAGCAGTGATGAAAACAGAGCCGGTCTCTGCCCTCGTGTAGCTTGTGGTTCATGGAGAAGCCGAATTAGAACAAAGTATTCCCATAGGCATAGTTTTCCTAACATTACATGGCATACATACAAGCAGATATTTAATAACAAATTGTGGTGAATACTTTTGAAAAACTACAGACTACTATGAGAAAACAGTTAGGGGTCGTGGGGACACTTAATTCAGATTGAAGAAGCCAGAGACAGTCTTGAATAGGTGATGTTGGGCCTGAGATCATTAAGATTTCCCAGGTTCAGTGTTAGGCTCTACACTGTCAATTATTATCTGATTGACGGGGAGGCTCCCGAGTTTTCTGATGAGCATTCTGGATACTCCGCACTTTAACTCTGAATCTTCTCCTTCATGAAGCAGATACTTGAAATAATGCATTTGGCCTTTGCCTTCATCTATCAAATATTTCCAATATTTTTCTCTGGCCATGAGAGCAGATACTAGCATGCCACTCACGAACATTTTAGAATAACACAAGTATCTTCAGCTTTCTAGCTCTCCACAACAAACAGAACATAAAAACAAATTTGCATGAATGTGTTCTAAGTCCCATGGCCACCTTGGGTTCTTTTGCATTGTCATTTCCACAAGTAAACTTTGAAGAATTGGAAAATGAATGGTTTTCTTGGAAGTGTTTACATGACATAGGTCAATAAGTAAAATTAGCTTTGAGTTTGTGGTTGTAAATGTGAAGAGCAGTCATTTGTAAAATTATTTGAGACATTCAGGTTGGAAAACTCACATTAGTGTTAGAAAATTAAGACAATTCTTAAGTGAGTACTGGTGGCAAAATTACCCTCGCTCTCAACTGGAGCTATAATGGGTCCTATTTGACCATGGAAAGCATCTTTGCAAGTATGGGGATAATGAAATATTAGCAAGTCAGTATTGATCACTTCCAAACTGGAAAATCAGAGAAAGAAGTGGAAATCATACCAAAAGGCACCAGGCCCCTTTATGATGTGAAAACATAAATTGAAATGGGAATTTCTCTCGTTTCATCTGAAAAAATGATAGGCCATGTCTATTTATAAAGGAAATACTTTGAGATATTTAACCTTAAGCCTCCCCTTTTCATGTTTGTGCATGATATCTACCCTATACTTTATATATGCATAGTATATGATAACCAAACCAAATTGGTTAGTCTGGCTACTTTTAAAATCATGGACTATTGCAGAGTTATAGAAAAGTACAGGGAATGATATAACAGATATCATGACCCACTAGGATTTATCACATTTTATTGGGTTCTTGGTTTTAAGTCATAAAGCTAATATCAAAGTCAGCATCTCTATCTTCAAGTGATGTGAAAACTACGAAACACTATGAAACCTGGGGAAGCTTATAAAGCAAGAGGCTTCCAGCAGAAAGCTCTGTACACACCGCAGGGTGTCAGGTCGTGATCACATGGTATGGATGGGTCCAGGCCTGCTGTTTACTTGCAGTAAGAACCAGTGAGCCAGCTCAGACTTGCCAATGGCATGGCAGACACACATCTTGAGCGGAAGAGCAGCGATAAGATTTTTAGAATCTTCACATATACACATTTTTCTCCTCACATGTGCTAGATCTCCACTATCTGTTTTCTCTCCCACAACCTCACTTACCTTCCACTTTTACAGATTGGTTATAGCCATCTCCACCTTTCCCTCTATCCTTCCAATCAATCAAGTAAGCCCTTGATGGGAACAAAGGCCCTGCGCTCCTTCCCCTGACGTTATCAGCAGCACATGCCTGTGAGTCAGGAATTCTGGCTTCTACTCCTGGTCCTTAAGCAAGTGGTTCACTTTGGCCCAAAGTGTCCTTGAAAAGGAAGGACTGAACTTAAGTGACTAGTAAGGGTCTCATCACCCTACCCATAAAGCCCACCAAGGCAGAGCACCAGTGTTTCTCCATTTTTCCTTCCTTGATTAACCAACATGGAATGCAGCCCTACCAATGCCAATGTGTTCCTCCTTCAGGCTGTGAAATTTGAACCTTACCATGACAGCGCCCTTGCCAGATTTCTGCTGAAGCGTGGCTTAAGAGTAAGTACTTTTTTGGTAGTAGCATGGCATTTTAGAAATTATTGGGAATTGGCTGGTAGACCTAGAGCATCAGTCACAGTAATGTTAACCGTCTTGTTCCCGCTCTCAGAACAAAAGAATCGGTCACTTCTTGTTTTGGTTCCTGAGAAGTGAGATAGCCCAGTCACGGCACTATCAGCAGAGGTTCGCCGTGATCCTGGAAGCCTACCTGAGGGGCTGTGGCACCGCCATGCTGCATGACTTCACCCAGCAGGTCCAAGTCATTGAGATGCTACAGAAAGTTACCATTGATATCAAATCGCTCTCTGCCGAAAAGTATGACGTCAGCTCCCAAGGTATGGTAGCTGTATTTTCTTGGTTCTCTTTCCAGATTTCTTCATCTCCAACCCTGTGCTGCTTCTTCCTTCTCCAAGGCAATTTGTACATTCCTAAAGGCAGCAAAAAAACAAATATTTTTAATCTTCTGTCTTCATGGCGCAAGCAAATTTAAAGGTTTCCCTTTACAAGTTAACATAGTTTTAAAAATATAGAAATATATATATATTCAATGATGAGTTTATTATAGATATTAAACGCTAAAAAAATTTAAAGCATTATGCAGATGAAACATCTGTGTTTCAAGAACAATTGTGCACACATACACACAAAGACAAGTTATTTTCAAATATTCAACTTTTTTCTCCCTATCTTTCAATATATGCATATAATTTTCAGTCTTTTAAAGTAATGAATTATGATAAGCTATTTAAAATTTTGGGCATAACTATATATACATACATGTGTATATATCATCCTATCTATCTAATAAAAGGACCTATGCAAATTAACCACCATTCCATCACAAAGATGGCAGTGCCTGTAGCCACAAGATGGTGGCACCCAGTCCTCTCAGTCCCACAGGAGTCCCCCTGTCCCAGGGGGGTAGTAGCCGCTGAGAGGAGGCAGTGTGAGCGACCTGGCGGAATGCTTGCTTTATCACCGGCTGTGGTGATGAGGCAAGCGTTTTGCACCCAGCCATGGTTGGGCCTGTGGGCTGCAGAGAGCCTCTGGGCAGCGGGCACGAAGTAGCCAGGCCCCACAGAGAGCCATTGGCACACAAGTTCATGTGCAGGGCTACTAGTATATATATGTATATGTCAGTATACTTCTTATAAAACATTGTATGTCACCTCTTCTCTAAAGACATTTTCAATATTGTTTTCTTATCACTAAGAAATCTTGTCCTTTGTCCAAGTGGGGTGGCTCAGCTGTTGATTGTTAACCTATGAACAGGAGGTCATGGTTTGATTCCCAATAGGGGACTTGTAGAAGGCAGCCAATCAATATTAGTAATTCTCTTTCATCATTGATATTTCTCTCTCTCTCCCCCTATCCCTTCCTTTTGGAAATCAATAAAAATATATTTTTAAAAAATAAATCCTGTCCCTGCCCTAAGAAAATTAATCACTCTTTCTCTGAATTCCCATTGTTGATATTGTATTAAATTATAGTCATCAACACATCTTTCTGGTCTCCTAAACTGTATAAGTTTTGATGCTAGAAAATATCCTATCTATCTTATTCTTGTCCATATACTTAGACACAGTAGTATAACTCATAACAGACACTCACTAATATATTCAGCCAGTATTTTAAACTGATTACTTAGAATTTCCACTTTTTCTCTTTTATTCTTTTCCAATACCCCAATAATGCTTTATCCTAAAAATAATAGTGATAATACTGATCTTACTTATATTTTTATTATAAGTAAAGGGAAACATATGTATTGGCCTCCACCCTATCTGTTATATAGGGAGTAATTTTTAATTTATGTATTTTGCTTTAAAATTTTTGAAGCTGCTAGATAATCTCCACACAGCCTAACTTAGTCTTTTGAAAAGATTTTGCAGAACCCTAACCGAATTCTATTTAATATGGTCTTCAAATGTCTGTTCCCCAAATCAGATGGCAGTTTACATGCTAGAAAGAAAACCACAGTATCAATTTCTTAGCATTATCCTTAACACATCCTCTCTACCTGATTGCCTTGCTATTCCATTCCTACTCCCCTGTTTCTAACCCTTGTTGTGGTAGGTGTAAATGAGTGTATTGCTCTCAGTAAACCTGACTTATCTTGTGACCTGAAATTGTTAGTTCCTCAAAGACAGACACCCTTTTCTCCTCCTCTACACTACACCAGATGGTTTCAGGAAATGTTGTAGATACTATTGGTAATTTCTTGAACTCATATAACTCTTGTGTGCTTTTGACAATTACAGTTATTTCACAACTTAAGCAAAAGCTTGAAAACCTACAGAATTCGAATCTCCCCAAGAGCTTTCGAGTTCCGTACGATCCTGGACTGATAGCAGGAGCCCTGGTGGTAGGTATCGCCTGGATGTCCCCACATGCTCTTCAGGTCTTGAAAATGTGTGCCAATTCCTTCTCTAAAGACTGGATACTGAAAGCCTCATCACCAGGCAATCTCCCACACATTTTGTATTAAATCAACTTTCATGGGGAATCACTTACATGCAATAAAATGTGTCCATTTAAATGTACAGTTCATTACCACAATAAGATACAGAACATTTCCATAGAAAAAGTTCTTTCATTTTTTTAGTCAGTCCTTTCCTTTTCCCATATCCCATCCCAGACCAAAGGAAAAAAATCTGCTTTCTATTATATAATCTCACCTTTTCTAGAATTCTATGAAGTGGAATCATACTATATGTAATTTTTGTATCTGGATTCTTTTACTTAGCATAATGCTTTTAAGATCTACTCATGTTGCTGTGTATATCTGTAGTATGTCCTTTTTATTACTGCAAGTATTTCTTTGTATAGGTATGCCACAATTTGTTTTCCATTCTATTTTTAGTAAACATTTAACAATGAGATAGTTGGGTCAAATGGTACATGTGTGTCATTTTATGTTTTTTTTTAAAGTGACAATACATTCATTGTCATGGGTAGGATTCCTAGACCTGGCTAGTGATCAAGGCTGATCTATGGGGTGACTGGAGGGGTGATTGGGTCCCTCCCTTACATTCCCCTTCTCCCTCCTCAGCACCTGCCTTGGCTGGCCTGGGGCTTGCAGGCTGGGGGAAGCTCCTGCATTGAGTGTCTGTCCCCTGGTGGTCAGTGACCATCATAGCGACCAGTTGTTCCACCGTTTATTCTGCAGTTCAGTCAATTTGCATATTAGGCTTTTATTATATAGGATTCCCACCAGCAGTATATATGTGAGTTCCAACTGTTCCACATTCTAGCCAACACTTGATATTAAAAAGAGAAGTGGTATCCCATTGTTGTTTTTATTTGCATTTCCCTAATGATGTTAAACATCTTCTCATATGCCTATTTTTTCATCTTCTCTTGAGACATTTCTATTTACATCTTTTGTTCATTTTTAATGTGGGTTGCCTTCTTATTTTTATTTATGAGTTATTTATATATTTTAGACACAAATTATTTATCAAGTATACATTTTACAAATATTTGCTCCCGATCTGTGGCTTGCCTTTTCATTTTCCTAGTAGTATATTTCAAGGAGCAGAAGGCTTTCATTTTTATTGTCTAGTTTATACCTTTTTTAATGGCTCAGGCATTTTGCATCCTAAGAAATAGTTGCTTAATCCAGTAATGTTCAACCTGGGGTGACCCCCACATCCCCTCCACACACACACCAAGGGATAGTTTGTAATGTCCCTTGATTGTTACAACTGGGAAAATCCTGCTAACATCTAGTAGGGCCAGGAATTCTGCTAAATATCCTACAAGGTATGGACAGCATCCCTCACACACACCCCAACGAAATATTATCCATCCCAAAATGTCAACAGTGCCAAAGTTGAGAAATACTGCCTAAGTCAATGTAACAAATATTTTTCTAAAAATTATATAGTTTTAATGCTTACATTTAAGTCTTTGATCTACTTGGAATTGATTTTTGTGTATGGGGTGAGATAAAGGTCAGGTTTCATTTTTTAAATCTGAATATCCAACTTTTCCAGCACCATCTGTTGAAAAGACTGTCCTTTTCTATTTAAATATGTTGGCAAACAAAGGCGGCTGAGGTCTCCCTGGGGTCTGCTGTTCCAAGGGGCCAAGGTCAGCTCTGTGGGCACTGACCAATGATAAGGCTGACCACGGTTCAAGAGGCAGTGGTTTTGTCAGAAGCTGTACCCAAGGTGGCCGGAGGCTGGGGAGTGGTCGCAAACCTCTGCAAAGAGAAATTATGCAGGTTGGATAGCCTGATGCCAGGGGCCCACAAGATACAGCAAACTAAATCAGCAATAAACCAGACAAATCTGAGTTTCCAATCAGGTCTCTGCCACTTATGGCCTGACCTTGAGCAAGTAAATCTCTCTTCAGTGGTATGTGAACAAAGAGGGGCTTTGTGGCAAGCGTGACAAACTCAATGACTGAAAGTAACCGCACAGATCATTAATTCCCACCTAGGCAGGTCATGGCTGGGAGTTTTAACTTTCTTCGTAAAAAGTTAATCTTTACCTTAAGCAAGACCTGTCCATTGTTCTTGTGCACCTTAAAAATGTCAGAGTAATTTTTTTGCCAGACCCCTCAGAAACATACTCACTGGACATAGTACAACTACCAAAAAGTTTGTTGTTATCTTGTACCCCACATACCATCTCTGTTTGTTGTAATTGTTCAATGTTACCTATCCTATACCCACTAACGTAAAAGTATGTCTCTCTCCGTTTTCCTTTTTCTCAGATCCTAGAGATTTCTCTGCTTTGCTTTCTCCTGCCTCCTTAGCCCACCACCGATGGATTTCACATTTTCTCCCTTTAATTCTAAATGTATAAACAGGACTGAACACTGTTATTCCTAGAGCATTTTCTCAGTCCTCTAAGGTTTTGCTTTTGAGCCAGTTCCTCGACCCTTGGCTCAAAAATTTTTTTTAAACCTTAAAAAAATATGTTGGCAACTTTTGTCAAATATCATCTGACCATGTGGATCTATATCTACATTCTTTATTTTGTTCCATTGATCTAAATATTTGTCCTTACATCAAAATCACACTCTTGATTAATTCAAATAATAAACCATTTCATACATGCTTAAGAAGAATCTTACAATAATATATTTCCTTTAACCTCCTCCCATTTTTATACTTTTTTGTTATGCTTTTAATTTCTACATAATGTTGTAACCCAATATATTATTATTATTTCGCTTTGAACAGTTAAAAATAGATTTAACAGGTTTAATAGATTCAACATTTTTTAATATTTTCCAACACATTTTCCATTATTGGAGCTCTTCATTACTTTGTATAGGTCCATGTTTCCATCTGGCATCATTTTCCTTCAGCCTTAAATGTTTCTTTATAGTGCAAGTTTTCTGGCAAGAAATTCTTTCATATTTTGTTTGTCTGTCAAACTCTTTATCCCACCTTTATTTTTGAAAGATATTTCCCCTGGAAAGAAGGGGATATTCCTCCATTCATGTTTATTTTATATCCAATTCGCAGTAAACTGGCCCTGTAGTGAAAAGACACACTTTCCTCTATCCTTAGTCACTAGAGACTGTTAGGAATAATAGCATATTAATACAGTTTTTGATTGTGTTTGCTTATTTTTACTTTTTTGTTATGCTTAAATACATCTTAGATACATCACATTTTTGATGCATGGTGAAACAACTTTTGGCCAGAACTCCTAAGATATTTTTTATTTTAAGTGAGTGTCTGCTAAGTCACATTTTCCACAAAGTTCCTTGAGATTATTTAGATGTACGGAGTTGTTTTTGGAGGGAGGAGGTGTTGTACCTGAGTGCTGATTTCTGTTTACTGCAGTTATTTTTTTATCTTATTATATTTGGCCTATTGCATCTAATTCTGCAATAATAGATTTTAGACATTGTGGTAGCAGTAGAATTCTTTTTTTTTTTAAACTTGAATCTTAGAGAGAGTCCAAATATATAAACCAAATTGCTCTGTACCAGAATCCTATGGGAATGGGATGTACAGAGGATGGGATCTGCTACAGCTTTAGGCATCCTCACAGACACTTAAGGTTCCTTGGAACACACTTTGGGAACCACTGATTTAAGTGTTGTGAATTTACTCTCACTAGCATTTTCAGATTTGATGAGAATACTTTCTGTATTTTTTACCTAAATCATTGAAAATCATTTTCCAACTAGGAGTTTGTCCCAGTTATTTGTATTGATACTTCACAAGAGGATGTGTGTCTCTACAATGCGTATTCATTATGTATAAAAACATCTGACTGTTTCTTTCTAGGTTGAAAAGTGTAAAGTGATGGCCTCTAAGAAAAAACCCCTGTGGCTTGAGTTTAAATGTGCCGATCCTACAGCTCTATCAAATGAGACAATTGGAATTATTTTTAAACATGGCGATGATTTGCGCCAAGACATGCTTATTTTACAGGTATGCTAGTGTGAAGGATTTTTTCAGTTATCTGAAAAAATATTTCTAGTATATTATATATTTTAAAAATGCCTTCTACTGACTCTATTCCCATTCTCCTATCTTGTATGATGAACAGTGATTACACAATAGTTTCACTGGGGGATTATGGCTGTGGACCATTAGATATGCATTCTAGTGAACATCATAGATCTGTCATTCCTGAGAGGATGCATATCCAACATGTTCAAATAGTCAGATATACTTCCCTCACCTACATATTTCTAGTATGGTAACACAGAACATAGATGTATTTATCTCCAAGCATTCACTTTTATTCATATTTATAGACATAGCTACATACGGTATGCACGGGTGCTTTTCTTAGATACATCATCTTTGATACACATCCACATAATACAAACTCCAGTGAATTATTTAATATGAAGGGGAGACAAGATGAACGGGGGTGACTGAAGAAACCATGTAGTTAAATAACAAGTGGAAACAGATTGCTACAGGAGATGAATGATGAAGGTATCTAGTGTTAATCATTTTTCTATGTTCTAACGTGTCTGGATAAACTTTAGTGATTCTCTATATTCTAGATGTTCAATATTGTAGAGGTAACATAATTCCTAATATTTAATACAATTTACTTAAAATAGGCAAACCACAGTGCTATAAATGTAGACTATTTAAAAACAAGGACATGTTCTCAATTCCCTCTATGTTCCTGTTTTTGCTTATTTCTAATATGGAAACAATAATACCCTTTGCTCTCTTTTCAAGAATGTATTTTTCCTGGAAATAATGTTTTATTAAAAATAAGAAGAAAGCTCTTTTGAAAGTTCAAAACCTTTTGAAAGTTCATTTAATTTCCAACAAATCGGTAACCTCTTTTGAATTATTTGAACATATAACTGAAAACCATAAAACATCACTCATTTTCCTCTTATTTTGAGGCAAAGTTTGCACTTGAAACTTATGTACTTTGTCTTATTGTTAAGGCACTTTGCTTGGCAGGTAAGGACAGTTATTTAAGCTCTCTAAGCCTTAGTGTCTTCACCTGCAGAATGTGAATAATAATTACACCCACACTATAAGGTAAATGCGAAAGATCACATAAAACAGCACCCCGTAAATGTTAGCTGTCATTGTGATTGCTGCTATTGTTGTCTTGGTTATAGCCCAAGAGTGCCTTATGTGTAGAATGGAATTTTTTTTCTTATTGTGGTAAAATATACATAACTGGAGTGGAAGAGATGAATTGGGGCTAAAACCTATCTCAAAAGAAATCCATTTATCTTCTTCCCCAAGGTAAGTATCAGGGATGAAAATTAATAGATTCCCAAGGAATGGAAACTTCAGAGTATCAGGTTGATAAATAAATAAAAATGTTGTGGTTGTTTTTTTTAAAAAAATATATTTTGTGTAAAAAATGTGTTACCAGATAAGATTTTTTCCAGAAGAATAAATATATACATTTATAATGGAAACCTTTTTTGTGTTTTGATACCTAGATTCTACGAATCATGGAGTCCATCTGGGAGATTGAATCTTTGGATCTGTGCCTCCTGCCATATGGTTGCATTTCAACTGGTGACAAAATAGGTATGTGCTTACTTCAAGAGGTAGATGTATCACTCAGTTACTTTTAAAAGATCATAATTCCTTCAGTGTAGGCATTTGCTAACTGACAAATTACTAGTACAATCTTTATCCATAAAAAGGAAGAAAGTATTCCAAGGCTGGTGAATGTGACTCCCAATTTAAAATGAATATATTGAAGATAAATGAATGCATGATTCAAAGCCTTGTTACTATACATGGAAATGATTTTAGTTAGAACGTGCTCCTCCCTCTTTACTTTTCCACCTCTAAACTTTTAACTGTTACATGGCACACTGAACTTCTCCCTCACAAATAACATTTAAAAATAGAAATTCTGTCACTTATTTTAATATCCCAGAATTCACATTATTAAAGCTATTACATACTCTACTCTGAGACTCTTTTATGAATATTTAACATTTTATTTCAATCAAACATTTTTTCATATATATTTTTATTTATTTCCGAGAGGGAGGGAGAGGGAGAGCGGGATAGAAGCATCATCAATGATGAAAGAGAATAATTGATTGGCTACCTCCTGCGTGCCCTACAGTGGGGCTAGGTCCTGAAATCCAGGCATGTGCCCTGTCAAGAGAATCGAGCCTTGACCTCCTGGTTCATAGGTCAACGCTCAACTACTGAGCCACGCCAGCTGGGCCAATCAAACATTTTTATTCAAGTTTCTAATTTGAGAACTATACAAAATCATTTCATTTGGCCTATAACTTTAAAAAAAAAAAAAAAAAAAAAAAAAGGAAAAGGCACAGGTTGCCAAGGAAGGAGGGATATACTCAGCCCATAAATACTTTTACTTAATACCTTTCAAAGCCAACCCTTTCCTCTTTTCACGCAGTAATATTAAGCATGTGCCACACAGCTTCCACATTCTCCTCCTTTTGTTTCTCTTACTTCTTAAGAAAACCAACAGCATGAGCCTGGCAAGTAGCTCTCTGCCCTCCACTCAACAAAAGACATAGCCATTTTTCCTCTGCGTCCGGCACGAGGCCCCAATCTCCATCAAACGGTGTGCCTCCTCTTGTAGGAATGATCGAGATTGTGAAAGATGCCACAACAATTGCCAAAATCCAGCAGAGCACCGTGGGCAACACGGGAGCGTTTAAAGATGAAGTCCTGAACCACTGGCTTAAAGAAAAATGCCCCATCGAAGAAAAGGTGAGCTCCCGCTTCTCCCCACTCCGAAGGCTCTTGAAGTTGTCCTTTTACATGGCAATATCGATGTCACGTTTTCTACAGGATCTGCCAGCGGCATGCCTCCTGGTGTATGTCGTGAGACCCTTTATCTGTGAGGCCATGAGGATTGTAGGCACCTTGTCGTGGTGACCTGCCGTCACGGTATAAAACAGACGGGCTCTGTTCAGAACTCCATGAGCGTTTGCTTTCCCTTGGTTATCAGGCACGCTTTGCATTCAGTTTGGTTTCTGTGAAATAATGCAGTAGCTCTTTTTATGACAGTCCATGTTTGTTGTTCAGCAGGAAAAAAAAAATCAGTTACCATGCATAAACGTCTTCCTACCTAGGAAACAGCACACACCCTATAAAGCGCTTACTCATTTAGCACATCAGTCTAACCTAAATGGTAAATTGTGGATGCTGAACATGCCAGTTTCACATTCCCCTGAAGTACATGTGCTGAATCCTTCACAAGCCGTGGGCTGTTGTTTAATAAAATTTCTGCACAGGATTTATTAGTGCTTCTCATTGACATAGTTAGCAGGCTTTGGGGAAGGCAATGTAATTAGTAGCACTTATTAGAAGGTGACCAGACATCCCACTTTTTAACAAATTGTTAAAAATCAGGGCTGTCCTACCAAAAGCAGGACATCTGGTCACCTTAACTTATTAGTCTGTTACACATATGCATTGTGACCCTGTCACATTTTAACTCATGTTCACCAATGACGAAGAAATCCCGAGTTCTGTGTAGTTGTTGGCAAGTAACACCTGGAGGGGAAGTGACCCCTTTGATTACATTGATGTTGCTCTTTGCCTCTTGTTTTCTCCTCCTGCTCTTGAGAATCATTGAATCTTTGCCTAAAATGTAAGTAGAGCAACGAGAAAGTTGGCACTTAACAGGTACAATGTTGATGGAACCACACACAACTAGTTTGCTCTCTGAAAATGGTTCCCAGAATGAGGTCTTGTTGAAAGTCATTTGCGATAGGTTCGTGCTGCTCTCTGTGGTTAGAACACAACTAACATTCAGATGCATCTGAATTAGTTTCAGGCAGCCGTGGAGAGATTTGTTTATTCCTGTGCTGGCTACTGTGTGGCAACCTTTGTTCTTGGAATAGGCGACCGGCACAACGACAACATTATGATTACAGAGACAGGTGAGTTTATTTATTGCAACCTTTAAAAAAAAATTGTGGTAAAATACACATAACATGAAATGTGCCACTTTAACCTGTTGTAAATGCACTTTAGCGACATTATGTACATTTGCATTGTTGTGCGGCCATCACCACCATTCCTTTCCAAAACTTGCTCATGTTCCCCAACTGAAACTCTGTACCGACTGAGCACTAACTCCACCTCTCCCAGCACAGAGGGATTTACATTTGCATTGTTGTGCGGCCATCACCACCATTCCTTTCCAAAACTTGCTCATGTTCCCCAACTGAAACTCTGTACCGACTGAGCACTAACTCCACCTCTCCCAGCACAGAGGGATTTTTTTCAAATGGAATGCAAGGTTGGAGCACATTTCTAGAAGTCATTATCATACAGGGACACGGATTCTGTGGTCGCCCTAGATTGCACAGGAGTGAGGAATGTAGGAAATGAGACTTAAGAAATATAAGTCAGAGAGTAGCTAGGATAAGATCATATCCCAGAAGCTAGTGAAGAAGGTGGGCACGATCAACAGTGTCAAATGTTATAGAAAAGCAAACAAAAAGAACTCACAGATATAGACCTTTATTTATTTTTTTAATTTTATTGATTTTTTACATAGAGGAAGGAAGAGAGATAGAGAGTTAAAAACATCTACCAGAGAGAAACATCGATTAGCCGCCTCCTGCACACCCACTTCTGGAGATGTGCCCACAACCACGGTACACGCCCTTGATCAGGATTGAACCTGGGACCTTTCAGTTCGCAGACCAACACTCTATTCACTGAGCCAAACAGGTTTCGGCAGATATAGACCTTTAAATCTAAAATGCTGTGCCTCCTCAACTTACCTCTGCTCACTAGTTCACTGTCCACTCTGATAGTGGTCAGTATTGGCTACCATGCCAAGAAATTTTTGTCTAAGAAATTCGGATCAATAAAACTGTGGTACATTTACATCATGGAATACTATGCAGCAATAAAAAAGAAGGTTCTCTTACCCTTAGTGACAGCATGGAGGAACCTGGAGAGTATTATGCTAAGCAAAATAAGCCAGTCAGAGAAAAATAAGTATCACATGATTTCACTCATGTGTGGAATTTAATGAATAAAATAAAATGATAAACAAAATAGATCCAGAGACATAGAAGAATGGAACAGACTGTCTAATCTCAGAGGGAAGGCAGGGGTGGATGGGTGGGTAGGTGGGAAGAGATTAATCAAAGAACTTGTATGTGTATATGCATAACCCATGGACAAGAATAATAGATTGGTGAAGGCCTGGGGCAGGGGGCTTGGGTGGATTAGAAGGGGTTAATGGAGGAAAAGGAGGACATATGTAATACTTTCAACAATAAATATTTTTTTAAAAAAGGAAATTTGGACCAACTTAAGAGTAGAGTCTGGACAAAGCACTATATCTGGGTAAACCACTTTTCTTTCTATGAGAATCAATAATGTATTGACCCTACATATGAAAAAGCTATACAAATGAGAAGAGATGATGGTAATTGTTATGGTGATGGTGACAATGTGATGGTAGGAATTGACCCCAAGGAAATTCAAATGATTTATTTCTAACATGCTACTCAAAAGTAAAAGGTAATGTCCCTCCCCCAAGTGGACTGAAACATCAGTCTATCTTGAATTACACAAAGTGTATAAGACAGTCTTGGGCATAATGAAGTCATATTAACCAGAGTTTTGATTTATATTTCTAAGAATAATTCTGAGGCAAGAATTTTTTTTAATAACATTTGACTCTCATTTAAAGAACACAGGAAGGGTAAAGAAAACACAGTTGGTTCAAAGAGTGCTTTGTGGCCATTAGCTACACACACCTGCTGAAACAAAAAATATCACCAGCTGATAAAACAGTGTAAAAATAGCTCTGTCACCCAAGATAGTTCATTGTCAGGCAACTTAAAAACATGTCTTGCGAAGTAAACAAACCAGAGTATTGTTACACGCACTTATGCCTGTGTAATGATGTCAGACATTTTCTTCTTTTAAGGAAATCTATTTCATATTGACTTTGGGCACATTCTTGGGAATTACAAAAGCTTCCTGGGCATTAATAAGGAGAGAGTGCCATTTGTGCTAACCCCAGACTTCCTGTTTGTGATGGGGACTTCTGGAAAGAAGACAAGCCTACACTTCCAGAAATTTCAGGTAATTGGCCTCATGATGATCACCTTCCGTAAACAAGCAGGTGGTGCCTGCAGCGCACAGCTGCCCTCGGCTTTCCTTCCACTTTGAGGCTCTTCTCACCTCTGCCCACCCTCTCTGGCATGACCCCACCATCCCCCACCCGTCTTCTCCATTCCTTCCCCAAGTGCAAAATGACGCTTCTCAGTAACCCTCCTACCTAAAACCAAACAGCAAGTGAACGTGTTCCGCAGTCCCCGGGGCTGGCAGCTGGAGAACATCAGCAGGAACTGGCACCTGCATGGGGAGGCGCTGGAAGGAAGAGCAAGCCGGTTTGGTTGAATGTTTGTCTATCCAAGATATTGCCGAGAAAGTCCAAATTTTCCATAGATTTTTCAGGATTCTCAAATGATTGCAGACTTCTCTTTTTTTATTTACTGATTTTTAGAAAGAAAGAGGAAAAGAGAAATGTGGATTTGTTATTCAACTTATTTATGCATCATTCATGCATTCCATTGGTTGATTCTTTTTAAAACTACGTTTTTATTGACTTTAGAGAGAGGAAATGGGAGAGAAAGAGATAGAGGAGAAGGAGAGAGAGAGAGAGAGAGAGAGAGAGAGAGAGAGAGAGAAACATCAATCCTTTGCCTCTTGTACACACACTGACTGGGACAGAACCCAAAACTTGGGCATGTGCCCCAATCAGGAATCAGACTGGCACCCCTTCAGTGCATGGGGCAATGCTCAACCAATCGAGCCACACCCACCAGGTTGATCCTTGTATGTGCCCTGACCGAGGGTCACACCCACAGCCTTGGAGTATTGGGATGACGCTCTAACCAAGCCGAGCTATCCAGCCAGGGCAATTGGAGACTTCTCTTGATTTTTGCCCTAGGTGAATATTTATCACTTTATTCACACAGGAATTCTTGCCGCACACACCGTGTGCTTTTCTCATTTTTGTAAAAGACGGTCCCTTCTCTCATTTGAAATTCCGTCAGCTTGCCTACAGGTCCTGGGAAGAGCGCTGGCTTGACCTGCTGACCTGCAAACAAGCTCCTGCCTGGGTCTCCCTGGGGGCATGAACATTCCAGCTCTTTTCCATCCCTTCCTGGGCTGCACCCACTTCTGACCGACCACCAGATATGTCAGTGCCCGAGGAGTACGATTCTCATGCTTGCAAACCTAATTACTGCAAATGCGCATAACTCAGAGGAATTGTGGTTACTGCTGTAATAGGCCAATGTTATAGCCATGCAAACACAAAACGGACAAGGGTCAATGAGTGATCGCTTCCAATGTACGTCTTGGGCGCCCCTTACGCAGCCCCCTCCCTTAGCGTGTCTCGATTTGTAGTCAGCGTTTTAGGAACAAGCCTTTTTCCTGAGTCCCTTCTCGGGCCCCTGTTATCCTTGGGAGGTGACATGGGTCTGAAGCTCAGTAAAACAGGAACTAGACTATGTTGTTTTGAAACCTGCCTGTTCTTGTTTGTTCTCCTCCCGGGTTTTCACTTCAGTGATCACAGGACTGGCTCTCCCACAGTTGCGGGAGTGTTGTCAGAGAGACTGAGGTCTCCGTGGCCAGATGGTCTCGGGGTTTTCAGGGTGTGTTTTTCTGTGTAAACTCATCTGGGTTCAGACTATTTCCAGGGATTTGACATGTTGCAGTCCTGTTTTTCTTTCAAGTTAAAAAATCCTATGTTTTGACAACTTCCTAGAAGAGAAAAATGGTTCCACAAAAATGACAAAAGAAAGGAAGAAAAGAATAGGGTAACTGAAAGAATTTTACCATTTAAAGGAGGGAAAACATGCCCATCACCTCTTGGAGGAGGTTCCTATGATTAGCTTTGAACAAACAAGGCAGCCATAGTGCCATTTAAAGAAGTAGGCACAAGGGATTGACCTCCCTGGCTGGCTCTCCTTGTTTCTCTTCCTTTTTGCTCGTGGTTTCCCCCAGTGATTGTCCCTCTGTCCTGTGGCTGACCACACCCTGTAGACCCCAAAGTGCCCATGTCAACCCTCAAATCCCGGGAAAACTTCTCCTTTAGTCCTCTTTATTTTATTATTTTAATTTCTTTATTGATTAAGGTATCACATATTTGTCCTCAACCTCTCCATTCCAATATCCCATCCCCCTCCACTCATGCCCCCACCCCCCTATTGTCCTCGACCACTGGTTAGGCTCCTATGTATGTCCACAAGTTCTTTGATTGGTCTCTCCCTTTTATCCCCACCCTCCCTCTGAGTAGTCCTCTTTATGGTTGTCTTGCGTTTTAAAACGTTCCTTGGTGAAAAGATTTGGGGTATGGAGAGGCCAAGAGCAGGTTGCCTCCCCTCCAGGCAGCTTCCACCCAGACCAAGAGATCTTTGCGGAGATCCTTTGCACAAGCTCTCTTCTCCGTCTGGAAGCCTCTCTCCATCCTTTGTGGCCAAAACTTGTTTCTTACGCCATGAAAGCCTCTTTAAGTAAAGTGGCATCTTGGCGGCGGGCCCCACTGAAAACACACTTTCATACATTTTGTTGGACTCTGTCGCTGAGATCTGTGCTTTGGCTATTGGCGCGCTGTTTCAGGGCCTGTGAACATGTGCTCGTTGAGCCTTAAGCACAGATCCAGCGTGGCGTTGTGGTTGGAAGGATGGGCTTTGGAGCAGACAGACTTGAATTTGAGTCCCGGCCCTGCTATTTAGTAGCTGTGTGTGTGATACAAATTTTTTATTCTTTCAGAACCCCTGTTTCCTCATCTGTAAAGTGGGAATACTATGACCTGAATCATGTTATTTTTTTTTAGGGATTATTTAAATGAAATGTGTAGAATGCTTAGCCTAGCACCTCGACTGTCGAAGGAAGTCAAACACATCACAGCAGGTCTGCACACTCTGCACTTCACACTTTCAAGTGAAGGAGCCCTTCCTGGCATGACACTTATAAACCATGAAAACACATGCTTGTTCTGGTTAAGGAGCAAGCGAGGGTCCCCGCTCTGCCTGCCTCCTTGTCTGCGCCTCTTCTCTGCACTGGTCCCCACCCTCCTCACTCACAGTAGGAAAGAAGCCAGACATGTGTACATGAATTTCTAAAGCTTCCAGCCTGACAAAGATGAACAGCGAGTTTTTTCACCTTTAATTAACTCGGACCCTTTGACAGTTTTTCCTCACGTACCACTAAGCCTCTCGGAACATCTTCCGTGTCTTCATGTTATGTTCCCTTTCTGAGATGAAGTGCTTCAGGCTCAGGAAGCACATCTCTAAACTTTCTCAATAGCACCTCAGGATCTTGGGTACTAAAGCTGCCATTTTTAGGTGAGCTGGGAAACGTTGTATATATTTACGTTGGAATTAGAGGTGTCCTCGTTTCCAGCGAATCGCTAATTTTGAGTGGACAAGGTTGATTAATGCACGCAGTGCATCTGAATAACTTGTTAGAAAGGGTGGGGGAAAGTTGACCCACTTTTTGTTAAGGACAAAGGTGAACCTTCTCCACAAAGTCTTAAAAATATTCCCAGCAAGTGGCCAGCAAAGGGAGTGGGGGGGGGGGGTGGTCAGAGGGGCTGAAAGGGGACGGTGCTCCTTTATTGCATCTCTCTCTTCTTTCCAAGGGAGCCTGTTTGGCCAAGGACCACACTCATCATTTATTTCTAGAATAGTGGAGCGTTCAGGAACAAACTATCCCATACGGACAAGGAGACACAAAACCAGGAATGTCTGTTAGCCTTTGGAGCAGCATCCTACACCAGGGAGCTAAACAGATATATTTCAACGATGACAATTTGAAGAGTAAATTCTCCTTAGAAAAATATCTCCCTTTCTGAAGGGATTTAAAAAACAAAACACACACAGTGTTTTGCCCACTGGTAATTTATTTTAGTACCATTTTGTTTTCAATTTCATTGAACAGTCATAGTGAGTTTTGTCTTATTTTAAACATCGTAACTGCTTCTTTAAAAAATAATCTAGCAAAATATTGAAAATATCATGAGGATAAAAAAAAAAAAAAAAAAAAAAAAAACACACACACACACACCAGGGTCCCACTTTCAAAAAAAAAACCATTGGCAACATTTTAGAGTTTTTCTTTCATTGTACTTAATATCTGGTGTTTTAGAAGGTTGCAAATTGACCAAAACTTGGCTAAAAACTCAAGTTAAGAAATAAATACCATATCACTTCCTTAAACTGCTCAGTGACTTCTCATCTCACTTGGAATAAAATCTGTCTAATCTTGCCCTGCAGGGCCCTGTGCCATGGCACCCTCCCTATGTTCACTCGGATTGCAGTGGCCTTCCTGCCCACCTTCCCCATCCAGCTGTTCCTCGCTGCCCTTTAGGGCCCAGCTTAAATGTTGCTTGTCAGAGCAGTCTTTTAAATTAGGTCCCTCGTGTTACTCTTTGCCACAGCCCCCTGCATGTTGCCTTCATAGCATCTGTCACAGCATGTAATTATTTGTGCTAGCCTGCTCTTTACCTAGCCCTTCCCAGAGTAAGCTCTGTGCAACAGGGACCAATCTTGCCTGCATCCCTCCCATGGGGCCTGAGACATAAAAGCACACGGGAGGGAACTTGGGGAGTGAATAAATGAACAGTAGAGGGCAAATCCTGCATTGGTCAGAGATGGATGAGACTAGCAATTAAATCCTGGGGGATAGAAAATGGGCCGTAAGGGCTGGGTTCAATTTCATTTTGTCCTGTGTTGGACTGTAGGAATATTCCACATGTAACTTCATGCCCTTGATCATGTTATTCTTTCTACCTGGGTGTTCCTTCCCCACTCTGGATCATGACCAAAACATGAGCAAGGAGGTGAAGTTGGTATTTATTAGTATTAAGGAACAAAAGCACAGTTGTCCAGTGTGGATGGAACATAGGATACATGGGCGTATGTATTGGAATTGGCATCAAGTAAGGGGATGTGGGTCCAATCTGAAGCAGTGCCTGGGCTGCATTGGGGTGGGTAGAGAACAAAGCAAAAAGGTTTTTTGGAACGCAGTTGGTTAATCACAAGATGCCGTAATAAAGGTCGATAAATGAC